CGGCCGATTCCAATTTCAATTACATACACCTTGAACTTGAAGAAGATTTCGCAAAAGTTTTTCTTGTATTTTATTTTCAACTTTTTACCGTATGTGAATGTAACTTTTTTCGAAAAAGATATAAAAAGCTAGTAAAAATAATTTCTTCTTTTTTGTAGGAATCTCATTGAAAGAAATAAGTGAGTATTGAGAGAAAAAAAGAGAGAAAGGAAGAGAACTAACTTACGTTAGTCATGCGCGCTGACATTTAAATTCACGTTCGCGGACAAGTTCGCGCGGAGCGAGGACGAAAAGCGTTTTCGGGACAAAATCTCGGGGATTGGATAATTTTTCGTGTCCACCTTCGCCGTAAGCTCGTGGGAGGGTACGTACTTACAATCTCGAGTACGTCGAGAGGACAGAGACGGAGAGGCGCGGCGGCGTATAAAACGGACGGAGGAATAAGAGAGGGTTGTCGCGGGCCCGGTTTCGTGGAGGGTGTCGCGCGGATGCAGCCGGCTGTAACGTAACCGAGTCTGGCGCCATATTTGTCTTTCGGTGCAGCTATTTTCTCGTGTCTCTCGCTTTGCTCTCTCCTTCTGCATTTCCGCGCCTTTCTCGTTTTCCTTCCTATCCTTCGGCATCGCCGCGGAGGAGTTTCTATATTATCCGCGCGCGGAAATACTCAAGCAATTCTTCGAGCGTCGTCACAAGCGACGTTAATTATTGCCAGAAAGTTGATGTCAAGTGATAAAGTTTTAATGTGACAAGAAACTCATTGTGAGACGACATAATCGTGAATTTTGCTCGAGAATAGTTTTGATACTTGAATTTTAAAAAACACCGCCACTGCGAGGAGCGAAAATCTTTAATTTTGTAAAACACCGCGGTATATAATAATTAAAAAGTTCTTAGATTATATTTTTTCTCTCTTAGATTATATGTATTTAGAAGCTCTGAAAGATTTTCTTCGAAATCCTTCGCGATAAAAGAAAATTGTGATAAGAGAAATTCCCTTTCTCTTTTTTCCGAGAGACTCTTTGCTTTTCGTCTCAATTTCTCTGTCAGCTGTTACCCCGAACATCTCGCGACGAAAGCGCCCGTATATCGACGTAAGCCAAGATGGATGCGCGCAAATGTCGACGTCGATCGCTTCGAGCGTAAACGATCGCGACGGCGATTACCGGCGGCGTTTACGTGAAATTACACGAAATCGCGCGAGAAGCGGCGCCCTTCTGTCTTCGTTTTTTTTCGACATTTAATTCAAGAGGGCAATGGTTTTATCACGAGGCGGCGAGGTATATTAGGCGCTTTTTGCGCGTATTCCTCCCTCGCGCTTAAGCACCGCTCGAACTTCGTTTCGAAGCGCCGACGACGATGAAGAGGGCAAACTCGGGGGCCGTTTTATCGCAGCGGGCTCGCCGCTGAGCAAGCAGGGACTCCATCTCTCACGCAACTTCAGGATTTGATGCATGTGCCGCCGGAACATTTGTTCGATCCCCCTCGAGTCTCCCCCGATTCGTACTCGCTCTTCGCTTTCCTCCTCCTCCCGCCCTCTATTCTCTCTCTTCGGTATCTTCCTTTTCCTCGAATTTCCTTCTTCCGCCGCGCGTTCTACAATCCTCCCCGCGTTCGTCCACGCAACCCTCGCGTGAGAGAGTATTGGACCTTCCGTCTCTTCGCGGCAGGCAGGTTTATTTTTATTCCATACGATTCATTCGATTGAACATGACTTGTGGTTACAGCCCGGGCGATATATTTCCGATATTACGGGACGACATTTCCGACTCTCTCTCTCCCCCGTGCGGTCCCGCGAGTCTCTTGTATTCCTCGCCCGTATCGCTCCGCTCGCTCGCCGCCGCGCCGACCGCGCGGGTAAAATACGTACGATCCTCCCTAGAATAATAGCGGCTTCCGGGGAATTCATGGGCCGTGTACCCCGCCACGGGCGTTGCAGCTGGCTTCGATTTCAGAAATTAGCTCCCGGTATTTCCTGCGGTATTTCCGTGGAAACCCTTTTGTGAACGGGAGGGTGTAAGATAGTCCGACATTGAAGACGAATGTCACCGCATGGTGGTCCGTTAACCCACATGCGAGAATCCGTTTCGGCTCATGAAGTTATTTCCTGCTACTTAATCGCGGCTTTAGAAAGACAAAGTCCGTCTTCGCTTCTAAAGTGTCACGCAATTCTTATGCCTGTCTCTATTTTTAATTCACTTAAAAGTGAATAACACATTGTGTTGTCAGAGTTTTTACAATTATTACAGTCTTAAAAAATTATCTCGTCTTGGAAGTTTTTAAGACGGTCTTCAGCACATGTTGTATCGTGAGTTTTACTCACGTGGAACGTACGTACGGGAAACATCAGAGACGCGAATGAACACACCGCACCGAAATGTCCGTCTTAACAAGTCCGTGGCAGCTGTTGAGGCCAATTTAAAGAAGTTAAAGTCTCGTTTAATGTTCGTCACAACGACGACGACGACGACGATGTCAGCGGCGGCGGCGGCGGCGGCGGCGGCGGGAGCAGTTTCCGCAGCTGCGCGGCAACACGACGCGCGATGTTCTGTCATTATTGCTGAAACAGCGGACCCTGCAAAACGCGGCTCTCGTAATAGTTGCGCGCGGCAACGTTAATTCGTTTCCACGCTCGCGCGAATAATTTTCTACACAAATACACGCGCGCGCGTGCATTGCTGCGGCAACCGCCGCATCTCTCCTCGCCGTCGCACCCTCCCTCCTCTTAAATTAACACGTTTACGCCGAGTTTCTGGCGCTTTGCTCCGAAATCGATATAGCGCGGGAACATTAATTATTGCTTTACGATGGTTCTTGATTAAATCACGATATCGCTGTTTACCGACTTGAATGTCGTACCCAATAATACGCGCGGTAAACACTTTGCCACTTCGCGCCGGGTAAAATTCAGTTTGCCAGTCCCTTGCGCATTACTTCCCTCTTCCCCTCCTTCTCTCATTTTGTAATAGCTATCGGGACATTGCGCGGCTAACGATACTGTCGTAATTGCGCGTGCCGCGACGTAACTAGGTACTCGGTAACGACCTTGACGACCCTAATACCTTTTATTGGTTTTCCTGCAAAATGTTGCTCGCAAATACGGTCTGTTTGCGTTTAATTTAAACGAAAGGAAGGGCGTGAAAAAAAAAAAAAATTACGAGCCCGGAATTCATTAAATGTTTTTTTTTCTTTTTCACGAGTGACAAAGTGAAAAGTGAGAGGACGAATGCGTATCATTTTTGTTTGATGTCTGTTTCGGTAATGGTTCTTAATAGTCATGTCGCGAGAATCCTACGAAGTATATGATAGTTTGATGATGACCACTCGGTTGAAAGCTCAATAACTCGTTTCAGTCCGCGTCGTAAACGTCGTTAATTAGGTGGCACTACGTCAGTACTAATAAACGGATGCGTTGACACTAACGCAATGGCACCACCGTGTGTCGCTGTGTGTAGAGGGGTAGCGACGCAGAGGGATAACTAACGGCACATCTGAATTATCCGTTAATGAATAGCGATGTTGCGGGCAACCCCGATTCATTCGATTATTTGCGAGATTGGTAGTAGTTCGTGGCACCGTCGCTACTCAAATTGGGGGATTTCGAAAAGGTTTTCACGCGCCGCACCGTTTCTCTCTCCCGTTAAATGGCACAACTAAAGCCCGGGTCGCGCTCTTGATCCGATTTAATTCGCGAGTCGCGCCGCCGTTAAAGAATGATAAAGCGAACGCGAACTACAGCGCGCCCGGACACTCCGTTAATCGTCTTAAAAAGTTCAACATCGCACACGGGCCGCCGCCAGTATTTATGGGCAGGGTTGCACCACTCGTACTATCGATTTAACAGCCGGTGTCGTCGCTTATTAATACACGGATCTCGCGCACGCATATGTTCGTTGCGAGCAATTTATGGGAGAGCTTAAAATTATTCATACAGTTTCCATGGAGAGTTTAATCGAAGCGCTTTCTCGCATTTTCGATCTTCGCTCTTTCGAAGCGGCGTTCCTCGAACATTTGTGTACTGATGAAGCGCTTTCGAATGCCGATGCACGAGTTCCGAAGCGCGGCGTTCGGGGAGAGGGGAAATAAAAACGCGTTTCCAAGCGATGCAAAAACAGAATCGATCCGACGCGATTGATAGATTCCCAATCTGCCATTACGATGATTGAAAATGATGCATGCGCGGTTTTCTTGCATACATCTTTCCGCTCTGCGGAGAAGTAACGTTTATCGTTTTCGAAATGGACAGAAAGACTCCGCTTCTTTTCGTTTCATTTCCCGATTCGATTTCTCGGTCTTCTGTGTAATCCATGCAGAGTCCGCGAAATAATACGAAACGCTCGTAAATATTAATAATGGAGAAATTGAAATTGTTGTCCTGATAAATTATGTCTCTGATATGTTTCGATGTTTTGCAATATTTCAGCCAATTTTTATCTTCTCTGCGCATTACATCAGCATGTAATCTGCATGTAGTCAATGTACTCTACTCGTGTTCGGGAGAATTTATACATACGTGCAATGCAATCAAAAATTAAATTTTTATTCGCGCGCATGATTGTCATTGCTCTTATGATTGGGTCGAGTCCTTAAAATTTTGATTGAATGCGCAATGTAATTCGATGAAAATGACCGATTTAAATTGCGAAAAAGATAATTCCCAAATATGATATGCACAGAATCAAATATGGAAGACTGAAATAAATAAATAAACTGACCGGAGATTAATGAATAATTAACGCGCGTGATAAGCGCGACAACATTTGCCTCTGTCGGGAAATATTTATACATTTATGTCCACACTTTAAAGTGCAATTAGAGTCATTATTTTGAATTTTCCGATCTTGTATCGCGCGTTCATTTTTGTTTTCGATAGTAACGAGGCGCAGAAGCGAGAGTGAAGAACAAACTTTTGTTTTACTGTAATACGATATTCTACTTATATATATCGCTCCGAATATGTGTGTACGGTTTACGAGATTGATTCCGTTCGATTGTTGTTGCAGAACAAGGGCAGAACACGAGCAAGAAGAAGACAACGTTCTCGAGACTTCTCCGGGGATTGAAGACCCACAGAAAAGAGAAACAGGGCCAGCAAAGTCAAGGCTCGCCCAGACACAATCGCGTAAGGATACAAGGTGTTCCGCAAAGGGTAAGTCTGCACTCTTAATTCGACAATTTTTACTTTATATGAAATTAGAAGCGTCGCGTTGAAAAAGAATCCGAAACTAAATTTTCGAATTTCGTAGTTTTCGAAATATTTTACAATTTTGTTTTGTTTTTTTTTTTTTCAGTATGTTTAGCATATTAAAATTCGTTCTCTCTCTGGTGAGAGAGTGTGGCAAATGAGATAAAATTGCCTCTTTTGCTTGTCGTTTGGCGTTTTGACGATTCGTTTCAAAGGATTTCGCGTAAAGGATCTTTTCAAAACGAGACGAGTTCGCGCACGCAACGCGGAAGCGAACTGTTTAATTCCGTTCCGACTTATATTTCCGCGGATATAAGCGCGTAATTGCGTGCGACATTATCGCGGCGAGCTCTTGCGCGGAGCTAAATATTAAACTTGGCGCGCGCGTCTCTCGCTTCGACGGGATAATTTTCATCGCCGTCCTTTCCTCCGACGCTTTTATTAAGCACGTCCAGCAGGCAGCAAATTGCCGCACCGAGTGACAAAATTCGGGAAGTTCCTCGTCCATTCACTACATGCATGCCTCCCGTTTTTCGTCCGCGCGCATCTCATGTCGCATGGAAAAGTCATCGTCCAACGCGGTATCGCTCGTTTTTCACGCGAATTGCAAATCTTTCCGTGCGTCGCTCGAACGCGAGCTCAGCTTTAATATGCGCGTTAATGGCGATTCGTTTTTTCACCATTAAGCCGTCCTGTGAATTACTGCGTAACGTGTGTAGACAAAATGAAATAACTTTCGACTGAATCAGCCAACATCCTCTCTCTCTCGTCGCGTCATAAAACAATATATTAATTATTTATTAATAAGAATTTTAATTTTGTCAATCTGTTTACCGATCTCTCGAAATTTTATCTCAAAAACTTTTTCAATCAGAATCGCGAAACCTAATTTGTAATCGTGAATTCGACGAACACCAGTTTTTATTCACCGAGAAATATTCTCCGTATTAAACCGAACAATGAAGATCGCAGTGGCTACAACCGGGGCTCGTTTATTTCCCGGGCGCGTTCTCGCATTTCGTTCGACGAAATGTTTTCCATTTTGAATTCCGCGAAAATGTATCCAATTAAAAAACTGCCGTTAATCGTTTTGCGGCACAACGCCGGCACGCGCAATTCTACACGATGTACCGATTATCGATTTTCCCCGTTCACAAGCGATACCCCTTGCGTCGATTCATTCGATCTCGGTAAATTCCAACGACGCAACAAATCGCAATTAACAGTCGCGTTCACGAAAACCGAGAATACAGGTGTGCTCTTCTCTCTGTGAACGACTTTGTTGATTCGAGCGCGATTAAAGCGATCTCTTTTCGAGAATTCTTTTTTTTTTTTTTTTCGGTTCGTTATACGTGATCGTTAATACAACGCGGACCAGCTTTGCGCACACAAACTGCTTGAACAAGCCACGATTGTTTCGGTAAAGTGGCAACTTTGCGGCTTGCATAACTCACCGACTCGCGAGTATCGAGTAACATCAATCAATCTCGCTATTGTGAAATCATTATCTTCGGCAATCAACTTTCGCGTGTGTTTCGCAATCGCGTGGCTAAGCAAAATAATTTCCCCTGTGCGGCGATAAATCTCTCATGACCGAGGAGTTGTGGTATTATTTAACAGCAATTACGTATGCCCGCGCGCGCAGGTTTCTGAAGAAACAGAAATAACGTGTGCACGTGGGAAATTCAAGTTGTACACTTCCGCGGCCGCAGCGCGCGGAAAAAAAGTGCGCACGGGAGCGCTCGATCCATGCATCCGTAAGCCGCTTGCTGAAGAAGTAAAGACGTCTAAGATTTCCCATGTGCCGCCAATTTGTTAACCCTGCGTCGACGACGAATCCGTGTGTCCCGCGTGGTTCGACCGCGTCGTCACGGCGCATCTAATTTTATCCGTGGATTAGTCGTCCGATATTCCGAGATATCGCGAAATAAGCTTGGGGACTCTGCGATTCATATCTTGGGAAGAGCGGGAAGGTGGGACGAATCCGCTTGCGGGATTCGCAACGAGCGTAAATTCTAATGAAATTTTAGTCCGGGCGTTCGGGTTAAGATTATAAAAACCGAATCAAAATGTCACTAACGTGCCTCTTGATTATATAGAAGGGGAGAGGAAAGAAAGAGGAACGCAGTATTACTTCTGACGTTGTGGATCGCGCTGAACGGAGATTACCGCGATCAACTTATTATCGTCGATTTTCCGCGAGATTTGCGCAAAGTCGTCTTGATAACGAAAATGTACGATAACACGAATAAATACTTGATATTTTAATTCGAGCGTGGTTTGCGTCTGACACGATTAAATACTCGATCGTGTTTAAAGTAAACCGCGCAACGTTATTTTCGTTTATATGATTTAATACATATATTTTTTATGTATTTGTGCCGTCACTGTATTAATATTATCTGTGCTTTCTATGCGCGAGTCGTATACACCAAACAAAGTTAAATAAAATCAAACGTGAATGTTTCGCGTGACGTTCGCAAATAGACAATCGGAAAACGTATGTTTTCAAGTGCGCGACGATAAATTACAATCGTCGCGCGCGCAGAATTTTTTCAAAATTTCGACAAAATCGCTATAACACTTTGTTTCCCTGCGCGCGCCATTCTCTCTATGTGTGATTTCTGTAAATAAATCGTTAAAAGCAAACACGCGGAAACTGAAAATTATAAACCAGCGACGGTCCCGTGGATGAAAAGTTTCCTGTAAATGAACATTTCCCGAGGCTCGTGTACTGACACGCTGCCAGCGTTGCTTTCGTGTATTAACTGTAAACAAGCCCTGGGTGAGTTACGTCTACCCCTCCCGCCCCTCGATCCCGCGTGCGCGTATTCCGTCCACGTTGCCTGTGTGCACGCGCTCGCATCCCGCGCGCATAATGCGGGCAAGAGACTGCAAGTGCCACCGACGAGATTCCCACGGTTGGTTTAAAATACATATATAGATGTATATATACAGGTACATATAGATATATACGTTTACTAGTAGTAGTAGCAGCCGAATTTAGAGCATAAATGCATCTTCGCGAAATAGAGGATGTTAACTCGTTGACCCGCACAAATAAATTTATGCGTGTGCAGTTCGGTGAAAATGTGTTTGCGCTTACCGGAGAGATAAAGTGAACGGCGTAGTTTTCGCTACGCGCTCCCCAAATTCGTTCATGGTTTACATGAACTAGACAGGAAATAGATTTTATTTTTTCTCTCGCAGACAAAAGAGACGTTGCGAAGAGAAAATTGCGAAAATTGTGCGGAACACATCGTGCTTCCGTTTGGTGTGCAAACAGAAGAAATGCCGAGGTAGACAGCAAAAAACATAACATGGTGTTTTTGGAGGGTTTTTTTTTCAAATAGAATTATCTATTTAATTACAACATCAAAAAGACAAATGCATTAACTGTGCACTTAGAAATTAAATCTTGCGAGTTTCACGAGATAGATATCAGTTTTTCGCCAACTCTCCGTTCTTTCGTAACTTTTCATTGCTGAATGTTTCCTTGATTTAGCGTTTTCCTGACAAAATGCAAACGCAGATAGACACTCAACAAGTGAAAGCTTTCGCGTATCTTTAAACCGCACTTGCGCAAAATGTTGCAAACTAAACACCGCCGAGGTTTAATACACAGAGTTATTCATATAGTAGACGTTGAAATAAAAAAAAACAACCTCATGTGCTATCAACTTCAAATTAATGTAGAGAAATTCACAAGTTATTTAAACCGTTGAAGTTTTTATGATTTAACATTGCGCGTGCATGTCGCGCGTAGAGAACTTTTACACGTATAACACATGATACAAATGTTGCACAGTCGCATTTAATGGATTCACGTATTTGAGAGATTTTTTTATTCTCGGCCATATCGTGTATATAAAAATTTAAAATGTTGCTCGTCAAACATTTTTGTGTTAAACATTTTCGTACCTATATTCGCCGCGCGTGATCGACGAACTTGAAACTAACTTTCGCAAAAGAATCGCGGCTCGGATAATGGGGTCCGACGGAGCGCCTTTGCGCGATTTCAATAAGCTGAATTTATAAAGGTCAATGAGTCTTTATTCACGCTACGAAGTTGAGAGAGAGAGAGAGAGAGAGAGCAAGCCGTTTTCCTTTTTAACCGCGGTCGCGAGTACAACAGGTATACTGTCGACGTATGCAACCGCGAGCAGACGTTCCACTGAAAAAGCCAGAACGTCGATAGCACTTGGAATGAAATTTTCTCGAGTGCCTCTCGGCGGAGCAGCCGGCTGAGCCGCGCGCGCTCTCAAGGAGCCAACGATCTCGTCGTATAGTCGCTCGCGGTGCTAGTCCTTGCGACTATAGGCCGCAAGGGCTAGACCGCGAGTCGATGCATCTTGCAAAAGACGACGAGGGTAGAAAACGACGGGGAAAGAAGGGGTGAAGCCGTGGCGGCATCCACCGTGACGAAAATTGAATTACGCCGGCAGTAACGAAAGGCGTAGAGGCGGTCACACGGAGGTCGCCGCAGCGAGACTGTGGTTTCCGCGCGTTGCCGCAGCGATTTTAGAGGTGATGGAGGTTAACACGAGAGCAAAAGAGAGAGGAATACACGAAGAGACAGAGAGAAGAAGTGGAAGGGGAGGGAGAAGGAGAAGAGAGATTGAGGGAGATTAGCTCCGGAAAGCGATAGGTTAGCGGCGGTAGCTGGGGAATCATCTGAGTTGGTCAGGCCGTCGGTTGCAACGGAGAGGTCGGAATCTCTCCTCCATTTGACATGCAGACGGGAGCTTTGATCATCTCTCTCGCTGGACGCTTCTCTCTTCTTCAGTCTCTCTCTCTCTCTTTCTCTCCGTTTTCCCTCTCTCTGTCTCTCTTGACCGCCGTCGTGCTCGGTGGTTCCGCCGGCCGCAGAGCGGGCTGATGCGACGAGAAAGCTCATCGCGCGACCGAGTATCGCTACCAGCCAGCGATATCGCCGCTGACTATGATGGGTCAGCCAACCGGCC